CTTAAGGGTGCTTTCACACTTGGTTCGATTGCTTGGTCCGAACCCGAGTTCGATTGCTCCCCACTTCCCCTGCCCCCGCTGGACTGTGTTCACATTATATTATTTGGGTCCGAACCGCGGTTCGTTTGCGTCATCAAGCCAGCAGCTGTTTACTCCGTTGCTTAGTAACGACTGCGCAGGAGAAGACGGCAAATGCATAACATTGCTCTCTGCACTTTTATATATTTACGTTTTTGAACCGTTCGTTTTGTTTACAAAGCTTCGGTACATAACGGCACTTACGTCTGTCTTACGAATGTACTGCAAATGCTCTAAAGAACGCTGAAGGCGAACAGAAATTAGATGTACAGCTCTCTGTTTGCAGCACGTCAGTCACGCTCGTCAGGAAAGTGAGTGAAACGCACACACAAACACATTTTTATCAAATAATACGTTATTAATAGCGGTTCACTTCCGCGATTTGGTACGATTGCGTTCACATCAGCAGCGAACCGTACCGGAGTTCACATGAACCGTACCCCAGACCACCCTTTTTAAGCGGACTCGGGTACGGTTCGTGGATGCGCACCCGAGTTCAGAAGACAGCGTTCACATCATCCAAAGAACCGAACTCTGACGTCAATCGAACCCGGGTGCGCACCAAAAGTGCTAGTGTGAAAGCACCCTTAGTCTGACTTCTTTTGTCAGTTGATTTGGTTCAAAATAAGTCAGACTAACTGAAATAAGGCTGGCTTATTTGGTTAACTAGTTTTATGAGACAGCCCCCTGGTCTGACAATCAATTCAGAGACTTGATTGAACTAACTAGTTCTCTGTCATTAGCTTGTTTAGAGGAACTTGTCACTCGTGACAAATAAAACTCATCAGATTTTACTCACATTCCCAAACTTCCTCTTAAGTCTTGCTAAGATCATGCTGATTAATGTGACTTACTCTTCCAGGTGTCAAAGGTTTTAAAATTAGAGTCCAAGAAGCCCCAAAGTGTCCACAAGAGGGTGCTACAGAGAAAATAAAAATCTTACAAAACATATTTTAACAGTAAGATGTGCAAGGTACATATAAATAGTCAATATAGACTTTGCATCTTTCAAGGGAATTGTTATCGCTACTGTTGTCCTTAACTCACTCACTGGTTGTCTGGCACTATTGTCAGCTTTCGGTTTTTAATATTTATTGGGAAAATCGCTGTAGAACTAATTCTGGCTTCAACTGGAAATGTTTCTGTAATATTATAATATCAGGTAGAAAAAAAACAGTTTGTACTAAAAATATAACTGTACCTTAATGTAATATAACTAAATATTCTTCAAATAATATTTGAATAATCTGTTCTGTTTTGGCTTTATTGTAATATTGTATATTGTTCATAAGTAAAACAAGAAACTATTTATACAATAACATTTAACAAAGAACATTAAAACAATATTTTTTTCTTCATAATCGTTCACATTCACTAATTTCAGTGTTGTTACGGTTAACTAAAACAGACTATTAAAATAGTTATCGGTAATTAAAATAAAGGTTAAATAGAATACAATATAAATATTAGATGAAAACTTAAAAAAAAAAATAGAATGTTGCAAAACAAATTGAAATCAGCAGACGTAGGCTAGTTAAATTATGGGAAAAAAAAGAATGACAAATGCACATGACAAAATTAAAATGAAAACCGAACGTATAAATATAAAAGCCAATTCAAAGTGGTAATAATTTTTGTAATAGTATATAAACAATGAATAACACTTATAAAAACATTTATATTTGTTGTTCTTTGCCATTAAAAAGTAATAATTTGCCCTCAGTCATCATTCTTGATTAACACTGAAATTTTTCAAATAGTATAAATGAATCTGTATAAACTATTATATAAATTACTTTATATTTGTTGGTCTTGCCATTAAAAAGTTAAAAAAAAAAAAACTGCAGAGTCATTATTCTTGTTTTTCACTTAAATGACATGCCTGGTTCCCCCCAGCTAATTCACTCAAATATGCGGTTTAATTAGCCCTCTCAGTGGTGAGGTGAGATTAGTGACAATAGCACAGCACTATAGGAGCCTGACACCACAGGACAGTTGCCCCGGGTCCTGCGAGAGGAGGAGATTTATGCATCACAGCACACATCCACAGGGGAGTGCAGGTCAAACTATTGAGTTTCTGTACAGTGAATATCAAAGAATGACAAATTCCTTTAGAAATGAATATATCCACTGGGTCTCTTGGATGCACATCAATTAAACACAAAGGGACCCCACGGGAAAGAAGGGGGCATTTGACTCAACAGGGGGATCTGAAGAGCTTCTGTCAGCAGAACAGTGAGGGCTTGAATCTAGTCTGCCCCAGATTTACTGCAGCACAGCAACGCAAATTTATAGAGGTGTGTATCAAATAAAAGATCTCAAGAGGTGTGGCACGATTAAATGGTGTTCAGTAAGAACAGGCTGATGGAAGTCAAAATAACAGTGTTTTAAGTCTGAACTTCACTAAATGAAACTTTAAAGAATAGTACTAGAAATGTACTTACTCTCAGGCCATCCAAGATGTATAAGAGTTCATTTGCTCATTGGAACAGATTCTGTGAAATTTAGTATTACATTACTTTCACACCAATGGATCCTCTGGGTGCCGTCAGAATGAGAGTCCAAACAGCTGATAAAAACATCACAATACAACATCACAAAAATCTTATGAAGAAACAGCGGTGTGTCTGTAATAAACAAACCTCAAAGACTAACTTAAAGTCCTCTAGTGATGTAATGCTAAATTTCAGGTAAACTTTAGCTAAACAAATTTTCATTTTTGGGGGAACTTTAACTGTGGAGGAGTAAGCTTAAAAAAAATCTATATAAAGGGTAAACTCTATAGACTGAATCAAACAGGTTATAGATCCATCTGACAACAGAGACACTTACAAAAGTCACTATCTTGTGACAAAAAAAGGCACCATCAAGGACATCGTCAGCCAAATTTTAAAAGATATGCAGTCAAGATCATGTGACCTGGGTTGTCTGCTTTCGATGTAATTTTTTTAAGGTCAACCACACATGAAATTCAAAGCAAGTCACTAAAAAGGGCATCGCACACTGAAGCAAAATACGGTTCCAATATATAGTTAAATCAGTTCATATACAGTTAAATCGCCCTCTGCCTAAATGCTGTCGTTTCAACATTATGGTAGGCCAAGGGTCATTCTCAAAAAATGTTGAGTTTGTCATACAAAATGCAGAAGTTATGTGCAAATTTTTGCCTATAAAAGCTGATGGCAAGTATTTAACATCATGATGACTTCATTATCATTTGATGTGATGAAAAACCACCAGTGATCATTTCTCATAAAAGATGAATTTTATGATAGTAGCAAATAATTGTTTAAAAATGCGTAAAAAGTAGCCAAACCATTTGTTATTCCTTCGGTAAACACTAGGTTATGATGTCTTTTATGTGGTCTCTTTCACATCTGAAACTAGTCGAGGGACACGTTTGTCACTCTATACTGACAATGACCTATAAGCAAGAGGAGGCAGGACTGACTGTGGGAACATTCTTTTTAAGGGTCACACCCTGAACAGATTCCCACACAACTTACTTCAATGTACACTTTACTTCTAAGGGGTGTCACAAATGATATGTGTGCTCTGTGCATTTTTGTGAGGTGCTATAGTACATATGTCAAGTATGCGCATAAAGTATAAAATTGCAACTGTCACAAATTTACTTGTCCTGCATGTCAGAAGTAGCGTGAGCACTTGGAGTATGTCAGAAATAGAACAGGACATCAGTTTACTGTTGGGGTTTTGCCGCACCTCATCCAAAATCACTGATTATAATGGATTCTCTTTTGTTGCATCGCATCATTCGCATCTAGTGTCAACACAGTGTTAGCTGAAAGCTCAAACCTGTTTTGCCTCAAATGTCATTAATGGTCACACACTTCTGCTCTTTGCTAAAGAACATATTGTTTCAAGCAATCTTTGTCTCAACCTTGATTTGGCAGTTATTAAGAGCCCCGACTCATCTAATTATGCAAACTTAAAAAAAAAAAAGAAAAAGGAAAATTACACAAATCCCCTGTTAAATGGAGTTAAATCTGACAAATTGCCTTATGGGATATAAAAAACTGAAAGGGTGAGGTTTCTTGGATGAGAAACCAGTGACATAAGAGAAAGGTTTCAAAGGAAATCCTCGCAATTTGAATTACCGCAAACCAATAGGTTCTGAATTATGTAAGTACCATAATGATGATTTATTGAAAGGATCAACCTCAATCATAGGCCAATAGGTGCAATTCATAGGCTGTTATTAAATACAACTTTAAAACCTACAACTACAGAAAATCTTAAAAGGAATAGCTAACAAAATATGAAAAATCTGTCATCATTCACTCACCTTCACGATGTTCCAACCCAGTGTAACTTTTTCTTCTGTGAAAAAACAAAAGATATTTTGAGAAATGTCCACAAGTTGCCCACAAAACTGTTTGGTTACCAACATTCTTCAAAATATCATCTTTTATATTCCACAGAAGTAAATAAGCCATACAGGTTTGGAATAACATGAGGGTAAAAAAAAGGCAGAATTTTTGGGGTGAATTAAATACAATACAGATGACAAAAAAAAAAAAAAAAACGTTTTTGAACTGTCATGCGAATTCACTGCTGCCAAACTAGAAAAAAAAAAACTACAAAGATTCTTATTTAAATCAACAGCCTGTACACGCTCATTCTGTAAATGATAAGAAAAGCCTTACAACGCAAATGTTTGCTCAAGAAAAATGGAAAGAGACAGAAAAAGAGAACAGAGAAACAGAATTGGTTTGAAAAAGACTGAAATAGCATAAGCGTGAACAAGAGTGATGCCATTTTTTTTTCTCTCGCTTCATGGGACTAAATCCCATTTTGTGAGTGATCAGATGACTGAGAAAAACTTCAATACCCTCTTGTTTTCCAGTGGCGTGTTAGATAAGGATTTGTGACTGTCAGCCTGCTGGTTTGTTAACATGCTTTCTCAGCTTCACCATTTAATTACATGGTTCTCACTTACACACAGTGAGACTTACAGTTAAGCTCGGAGAAATCAATACAGTTAATTGGCAATTTCTTAATCCACTTCTTGGCATGATTGGATTGTGAAGAGCAACTTGTGCTGACAAATGCTGATTCAAACAAACACAAAAGCAAGAGGAAAACAAAAAAGCGTAATTTACAGCCCTCTATGCACAAAAGCTAATTAAAACACATTTATTAATGTATCATAGATGAGAAATACAACTATTAGGAACCACTGCCTTTAACTTCTCTGTACAATATTTAGGCAAGTCTAAACCAAGCATAACAGATTTGTTTAAGCAAAACATTCCACTCAAAAGAGTCTTCTGCTGTTTGACAGCCTGTGCTGTAAAATACAGCTGCCACAATCCACTCTGTGTTCCTCTGAGCTACATCTGTTTATCTAAACTGTTTATGCAATCCTGGATGTCTTTCATTTTATATAATATTAAAGGAATGGCTCAAACAGAGAAGAATCAATTCTGTTCTCAGAGACATTCGTTATCTTACGCAAATGGGATCAAACTGCCCACTTGTCAAAAAATACACTGGCGAAATACTGTCAATACTGACCAGACAAATCCCAAGTCATAGTTCATACAACACCACATGAATGGACATTTCAGGCATCATTTACACAAATACCCAAACCCACTCACACTGTCAATGACTCATAAGCAAATATAAAAAAACAGAAAAAACAAATGAATCAGAAAGATGGAGAGCAAAGGTTGGCTACAGATGCCCTTTACTCTATCTATGCATAACTAAGAAGGTTGGCATGTTTTGCCATTCATACTGCAGCATTCTCTTAATGTTTGATCAAATGATTTCCATGACATTTCCAGTCATTCATGATTGCTGGGTAAATTCATTTCATAGAGATTGCTGAGGAACATTTTAATTTGTATGTCAGGTAGCAAGTTTCTATATTAACTACTGAACAATCTGCACATTACTGTAAAAATGTTTACAATGTACTAATTTTTCCAATGAGACCGTCAACAGACAGGCCCATGTTATCAAGATGGCTTGTGGAAAATTTTGCTCTAGGATCAACATCTTGCTGAATACATTTTTCAGAGCTGAGCAATATTATAAACACACGCTACTGCTCAATAACTACTGCTTTTATTTGAAAGGACATGTTAACTTGATCAAAAGTGACAGTAAGGACATTTATAATGTTAGAAAATATTTTTTTTTTCAAATAAATGCTTTTCTTTTGAACTTTCTATTCATTCCACACACACACACACACACACACACACACACACAACTACGCAGCACATCTGTTCTCAACACTGATAATAAGAAATGCTTCTTAAACAAATCAGCATAGTAGAATGATTTCTGAAGGATCATGTGACACTGAAGACTGGAATTAACCTAGAAACTTTTACTAGCCCACATCACCTACTACCCATTTCCTTAAACGCCATTTACAGTTGCGAAATAACTAACGGAAAACATGCACCAATTACCAAACCCACTCATGATAATTAATGAGGCACAAACAATAAATGTCCAGGTCGCATCACATGAGTCACAGATGATGACGTCAGTAATTGAACCGGCATGAACCTGCTCACATCTTCCTCGCATGCGTCACCCTTTGTCACCTCTTCCATCACATTATTACTAACCTTGACATACCTCTCAAAGATAATCAAAACAAGTATAGCTTCATTTAATCAACTAAGATAAGAATGTTTAATATTTAAACTATCGTATCATCATACCGGATACATAAAAGAAAAACAATTGTCTCACTGCTTTTAATGAAGACACCATATACTTGATACTGTGTTGCGTTTAGTTTAATCTAACATGACATTTTAACATAATCTTGTATTATTATCCCTTAATTAAGGGACGAAAAGCATCAAGCATGAGCGCAGCCTGTAAAAGAGAGTTTAACTCGCTGTCACTGGTAGTTATTATAAGACGAGAAAATACATCTCAGACCAGACAGATTGAAAGCACGTGGTCTTTAAAAAAAGAGCCTGTGTTTCAACATCTCTACGGCCATGGCCCAACAGGCAGATCAATAGTGCAGAACGCCACCCATATTTCAAAATCGTGTCTTATAAACACACATAAACCAAACACGAAAACGGTAACTTAAATGATCATATAACAGAATCGTCTTAAATAAGCAACCCAGTTACAAGCCAGCATCGCATCTCTGGGACTGGAATCCTGATCCTGAGGTGTTGATGGGAAGCGGCTAGGACATTTTTACATCATTAATTATTATAATAATTACGCCTATTTGATATTAAGAAAGTTTATATTTACAATTACAATACACCACTTGTGTGATAAAACACATTGAGTCGTTATTTCTCACCTTTCCGGGAAGAAACAAATCGTTGTCCTCCTCTGTAATTTCCCCTTGTGTTCTGTCGTGGTACCTTGTAGCAGCACTGAGTGTCCTACTTGACCACTACCGAGGGTAAATACAGAAACAGCGGCTTTCTCTGAGCAAACACCTTCGGCAGGACAGAGTCTTCTGACTAGACTGGCTTATATGATGAGCAGGAGACGAGTGGAGCGATTTTTCCCTATTATATAGCAACACACGGACATACACACAGCACACGGGGCACTGTGGTATTTCAACGCATGCTCAAAACAAACTCAGACGTCGGAACGCTGATAAACCCCGCCTTCTGGTGACTCTCGGCCAATAGAATTGTTCATAGGCGATGACGCAACGTCCCAGTCATCTCTTTTGCCGGTGTCGTGTCTGCCAACAGTCTATGGTCTGCCCCTGTGATCCCATAAGCCCGCTCAATGGCTCAATGCTATGAGGTGTATTTTGTATGAGGTGTATTTTGTGCATCTGCTTTGCAAACTAAGCAATCAGTCGTGTCGATCGTCGCGTACTTTTCCGTGAGCAGAAGTCGTGAACAATGACGTGTGATAAGAAGCGTGACACTTTCGTCGCCCCACTTATCGCGTGAGAAGCTACGTGTGAAGCTACGTGACGTCTGCGCTGTGTGGTCTGAAGTAACCTTGTACCGGAAAAAATAATACACGTTTGTTCTCTTGTCAGTTTGCATAGCAAGAGCAAAAACTGCACAAAACACACCTCATACAATGCAGCCTCTTCACACGCCCCCTATCGCCTCACAGGACTCCCAATTCCTCCGATGTGCTGCTTTAACAGTAAAAATGGCGCCGCCAGTCTGTTTTTAATCTTTTTTTTTTTTTTGAAAGCATTGAACAGACATATTTACAACAAACAATATGCAAATATACAAATGACAACCAAAAAGTTAGAGGTTGAAGGAGAAAGAGACGGCAAATATATGTAAACATATTTAAATTAAATAAACACACCTTTAAAATAATTTTAAAATAAATAATATTTTAAATAAAAAGCATTTTAGGCGCCCTCAGTGTCACTGAAGGCCATTCGTTGGGTTTCTCGGCGCCCCCTTCCGGTCGTCAGACGGTACTGCGCGTCATTACTTAATTGACCTACATTCAGTAACCGCTACATAATGACATAAAACAACCTTTAAAGGGGTCATATGATGCTTTTTTAAAGATCATTATTTTGTGTATTTGGTGTAACAGAATATGTTGGCATGCTTTAATGTTCAAAAAACACATTATTTTTCAAATACTGTACATTATTGTAGGTCCTATATGCCCCGCCTCTCTCAAACGCTTCGTTTTCTACAAAGCCCCCTCCTTCACATAGTGGGGTAGATATGTGGGGGCGTGTTAGAACGAGCCGTTTTAGGGGGGCGTGGCAGAGTCTTAACTTTGATAAAGAATATCTCTTTGGGTTTGAGACTTTAGTCTTTGCAACTTCAGGGATCTTATCTATGCACAATCAGCTTGTAACACTCCAAAGAGAAAGGAAAACTTGAAATCGCATCATATGACCCCTTTAACTATAGCCTTGTTTTTCAATATCATCATTACCAAAAATTATATTTGTATACAGGGAGGTCGCTGAATGACAGTTATTTTCCATCAGCAGAGGGCCATTGAAGACACAGAAGAAGCAGTGTTTGTTGTGGAAATGTTACATTTAGGGGTTTTGCTAAGCTTTCAATGAAGGGTTTAAGAGCGAGCAGAACACCACTGACTAGACAGATCACTGAACATTTGAACACTGGCTTACAACAGCAGCACTGAATAAAGAAACTTGCAGCCGCCTTTATTATGTTGTTTAATTTTATTATTGGTGGTAACAGAGCAGAGCTACACTAGAAATTAAAATATTTAAGGAACTGTCTACATGCAATTTCTACTACTTAGAATTGCTTTTACATCTTAAACATGGACAGGGCCGTCGCTAGTGGGGTGAAAGGTGGTGACGATTATAGGGGCCCACTGAGGGCCGTAGCTGGGGTTGTACCAGTGAGCCTATTTATTTATTTGTGCTATTTACACAATGTTAAGGTTTTTTCAAGTTTGTGTCCAGGTACAGAAACCGAATAATCAAATGTAAAATAGCACAGCATAGTCTTCACTGTAAAAATTAAAATATACAGTCAAACCAAAATTTATTCAGACACCTTCAACATTTCTCACATTATCACAGTTTATTTGCTATAGCTTAGAAAATGGTAATAAAATATGACAAGAAATCAGAGTTAAACTGTGTCAGAACAAATGCATCTTGATAATGTCAGATAACTTTGATAGAAAGATATGTAATGGATTACAATCAACCAAAAATTATTCAGACAGCTGTTAGTATGACAGTATTTACACAACTATGAATACTTAGTCGGGCAACCCTTAGCCTCAGTGACAGCCTGTAGTCTCCTGGGCATGCTGTCACCC